AAAGGATATTGGACAAATAACTTTTTTCCTTAAATATATCTATTTAATATCAATAAAACACATAAAACTTTAAAAATGCTTCTATTCTTTAAATTCATAAATGCCTTAAAGAGATTTCATTTATCTACCTACCCCAATAAATGAGGGGGTAGAACTCTTTTTTTTTATATGTTGGTTGGTTAATTTTATTTAGCGCCATATCAACAACTGTGGGTTATTTAATGGCGAAATCTAGATATTTTAAACGTAATTTTATGCCTTGAACTACAGATAATTTATATATTTTTTAATCGATATCACCACAAGCAAAGCTGTAATGCCACTAAAACAAAATGGTTTACAGGATGTGGAAGAATTAGAAACAATAATCATGACCAGAAAAAGAAGAGAGCGATCCGGTAGATAGTAGATAGTAATTGACATTGCATTTAAATTTTTGCAGATTAAAGTTGGCTGGAAAACATGGAGCCGGAAGGGAGTTCCATAAGCGAGAACTGCTAGATAAGACACTTTTAGCATAGAAATTTCGGTTCCATCTAACCAGCTCAACTCTAATTTGACGAGATCTCGACGCCAGTCTAGTGCTGTGCTTAAATTAAAAAAAAAGAAAAAGAAAACTGTAGATACTATAGTAAAGAGCGATATTTATTCTGTTTTCTACAGAAAATGTGGCACTTGGCCGAAAAGGGGATTGGGGAAAAGGACGGTCTTGTTCTGTCTTAACTATAACCTAGCTAGCCGAAAACACTGACCCAGTCGTACGAACAATATTCCTTACACCAAAACAACACATTCATTCGTACCTTTCTTACTACAACCACCATAATACCTCTTTGTCTCTATGACAATACTAACTAGTCCTCATATTTACAATTCATTGTCTGTGGGGGGAGGGGAATAAAACAACACTATAGTAAAGAGCTTACCCTAACAATTACCATTGAAGGTATTTATATAAAAGACATAGAAAGACAACCTTACGGCGGTGGGAAAGTGGCTGGAGCCGAGCCGCCAGATCAGGACCGATAATATTGCTAATTCTTTCGATCTTGTCAAGGAACTCAAGATGAATAGCAGGGGCATCAGCCCATATGTGGCAGCAATATTTTAAGCATGTACGAATGGTAGACTTATAAATATGTAAGATAGATTCTGGAGAGAAACTTACGTTTTTCAGATATGTAGTTTGTAGATGATAAAAGTATTTTTGGCAATTTAAAATATAATGTTGGTAATTCAACGGCAAAAAAGTATTGCTGGTATTTTTACTATAAAACTATTTTTATGCCTTCTTAAAGTTTTCAATTTTTGGTGGTGGCGGTGTTTACTATTTGCACATAACTCGGACCCTAACAGATGCTAACACCTGGTGTCAGGATGGATCTAGGGTCAATAGCAATTAAGTGGTGGATCCACAATCTCCAAAGCTTCCAATCAGATTCCTTTTTGTCGATTTCTCATATGTTGAACCCATACGCTTAGATGTGGGCCAAAGATAAAAATTACACAGTGCTCGAGACCAGTCAAGTTGGTGTCGATATTACACCGGCCCAACCTCTGTTAATGGGATGTGTAAGACGCTGAAGCAGGTTTGGAATCCCCGGGATCGGGCTCCTACGCTCAGCTAAAATGAGGATAACAGGTACCACATTTGATCCTGGTTAAAAGGCCGGAAATGACATTAGGTCTTAGTAACGTTGAAATGGATTATTTCTGTATTTTTGTTCTAAATGTTTTCAGTCTTTTATTACCGACATTACTCTTGTCCGTCATAGGGTCTCAGATAAGCATGGAGTAATTAATGACGATCAAAATCACTTGTAATAAGAATCTAATAAGCGGCGTATCGTGAAAAATATATACTAGTAAAAGCAAATAGCACCGATATTCGAATGATTCCTAAAGAAAAAAAATCATCGATTATACGTAACTCGATTTTAAAAACTTCGATTATTCGGATGTGCGGGGTGTGATGGATAATGATGGTACCGAATGAGAAATAGGACAGTCGTGTTCGAATTCTAGTCGTTTTATTTTATTTAGTTACGCGCAAATACTCTTCGAAAAAGAACGAATCTATCACTTTCCCAATCTATGGGTTAAATAGTAGAGCTTGTATGTGGAAAATCATTTTTATCTGAAAGAACATTTGTTAGAGCAATATTTTTAACGCAATTGTTTTCTCGCTAAAAAATGGTAATGTAAAATATTTTCAGCTTCAAATAACCCAAAAAGGGTTGATTAACCGTAAAAAATCGAGAATTAGCAACAGAAAAACGCAAGACCAACCGAAAATAGACAAAAATAGATACATATTCCATAAAATATAAATTTGCCTGCGTGCATGAGTGGTGCGTCCGTTCGGCGTATAATGATTTAAGTTTCTTTCCACCTCTCTCTCTCTCTCTCTCTTTTCATCTCTCTCTTTCCACCTCTCTGTGATTGCGTGCGTGCTTGCGTGGTGCGTCCGTCCGGCGCATAATGATTTAAGTTTCTTTCCACCTCTCTCTCTCTCTCTTTGCATCCCTCAATTTCCACCTCTCTGTGATTGCGTGCGTGCTTGCGTGGTGCGTCCGTCCGGCGCATAATGATTTAAGTTAGTCTGATTTAAGTGAATAAGATTTAAAAAGACGAGTTGTTTATACAGTAAGCATTTTTTTTATTTTAACTTTCTTTAAACAGACAATTTTGTTAATTAAAATATTTTAAAAGTTAAAAACAGACCCAAGGAGATTCCGCTTTGCTGTTTCTTCCAGTTGTTTGTAGAGTAATTATTTATATTTCAGTTTTCTTTAAACAATCAATATTTTAAATATTTAAAAATATTTTAAAGTCAATCTGATTTTTTAAAAAAATTAAGTGAATAAGATTTAAAAATACGAGTTGTTTATACAGTAAGTATTTTTATTTAATCTTTCTTCGAACAGACAATGTTTTTTTTAATGTTGAAAAATGTTTTCTTACAGGAACCGTCAGTGACCCAACGGGTCACGGGTAGTCTAGTAGTTTTCTAAATAATTGATAACCGCACAATTGCAGATATGGTTGCTTTTATTTACCTCAGTAGCCAGTGAGCGCTGTTTATCTTACCAATTATAAAGCGGCCTCTCTGTTGGATTTTCGCGCTGTCCATTGAGAGAACTTAATATGCGAAAGCATGTTTCGTTGAGAAACTACATCTACGTGGGGACCATGAGCGTCTGCAACCCATTTGTCCGTCACTAGATTTATGTGCTTTCCGATTCAGACACAACTTACTCGTGCAAGTTGATAATGAGACCGGATCTTGAAGGGGAGCTGAGAGGGCGCATGAGATGAGAGTGACCACTACATCACCCACCAATTGGATCGCATATAATCACGCTAGAACACGACCACATTCACAGACACATCTCTCCTATCTCTTTCTCTTTCTCTATCTCTGTCTATCACTTTTTCTCTCTTTCTCTGTATTTCTTTCTCTTTCTTTCTTTCTTTCTTTCTTTCTTTTTCTCTCTCTTTTTTCTCTCTCTCTCTCTTTCTCTCTCAGACATATTGCTTATCCGCACAGAAATGATAACTGGTACATTCTTCTGCGCTGTTAACGTGGGCTACTGCATAAAGTTTATTGATATAAAAACGAAGAGCCCGGGCGTATAGTATATTGCCTGATAAATATTTCAACCGTAGAGTAAGCATCTAATTATTTACGCGCGTGCTCTCTCTCTCTTTCTCTCTCTCTCTCTTTCTCTCTCTCTTTCACACACACACATACACACACACACATAATTGTGTGACAATCTTTGGCCGACCGATAACGCAAAAAAAGAAAAGTAGGCCTTTAACCAAAATTTCGAACATGCTAAAAAGGATTAAAAAATTAATAAAATAGTAAAAAAATAATAAAATACTTTTGTTTTTCCTCATAATAATATAAACATTTTGAGGATAAAACTTTGTTTTCATCAAGTTTGGGGTCTTTTTTCATCATGGCATGCTCTTTTTTCAACGACAAAGTGAAAGAACTTAATATTGGCTGAAAAATATTTCAGCTGTAGAGTTCCTAAGTATGCTTCCAAATATTTATGTGTGCGCGCAAACATAATTGTGTGATATCAATCTTGAGTGCTGTACAATTGCGTCCATGTGTCAGACCCATCGAACCTTATAACTGTAATACGTCCTGATAAAAGAAAATCATGGAGGCAGAGATTATAGAACACGTTTTTATGCCATGTTGTCATGGCAAACAACTTCCGCGCGCGCGTGTGTGTGTGTGTGTGTGTGTGTGTGTGTGCATTGTTATTTTTTTGTGGAAGCACGGTAGAATAATGGATATCGGATTGAGGAATCGGAGGATCGACATCGAATTTCAGTCGAGTTCGTTACATGCAGTCTTACGTGCAGTCTTAGGAAAGGTATGTATCCTTCTTTTCTGCATATAGGTAAATAGCAGGACATGCTGGGTTCTATAGCCTTGGGTGTTAACCTGTCTAGGAGAAGGACAAATTTGAATTCAATATCCGAGGAGGGACGTTTGGAGATTTGGAATCACTATGTGCCCCAGTTCTTTGTATAAGGTGGTTTGAAAATGCGTGCTTGGTTCTACACAAGACTTAACCACAATACTCAAATCATTTGTGCGAATAGTATGGGTTGCTATAGACTCATACATCGAAAACGACGGGAGAACCATATATATATATATATATATATATATATATATATATATATATATATATATATATTAGTGATTACATGTGTTTGAGTTGACAGAACTTTTTAATTGATTCGTTTCCTGCGGTTTATCAACTATTGTTTAAAGTCATAAAATATGTTATACTGTAAAATTTATTCTGGAGATAATAATTGTTTAGTGATACAATTCTTACTAATTAACCCATAGCTGGAGGAGAAGAGTAGATTCATAACTTACCCAAGTGTATTTGCGCGCAAATAAATATAATGAAACCAAATAACAATTCCGAGCCATTATCCATTAGACCAGCCGCGTATCCAAGCTTACAGTACCTGGTATTCCCAAGTAGTCACCCATCTAGGTACTGATTAGGCTAGTCGTTGTTTAACTTCGGTGATCATACGGAAACCCGTGTTTTAACGTTATTTGACCATAAACCATTTTTTTCTTAAACAGTGAAATTAATGTTAACCGGACTATTTCAAGAAGTATTCCTAAATAAATATAAATCCCGACAGGAATCAGAAATGTGTTCTCCTTCTCTATCAGGGGAATCACTGCTTATGGCCAAAGCGGACTCTTCCTAATGACGCCACACTCGTTTGGCGTATTTTGGAATCTATAGTAGCAAACTTTAGTTTCGTACCCGAAACGTAAACACAATAATTTTTAAATGGAATTTTTTTTCATCTGAAACTATTTCTAATTATTATAAACGCTATTTTTATATCAATAATATTTTCCTAGATAGAGATATAGTAATTTTAAAGCAAGCAGATCTAAAACTAGAGGAGACGGAACAATGAGCTAGATTTATGGAAGATGGAAATAAAAAAAACAAATTTTATATTTAGAATCAGAGAGAGAATGGGAGATTTAAAATTTCTTGGACGCATAATGAGGAAGGAGGGTTTTGAAAATGTCATACTCAAAGGACGCATTGAATGCAAGATGAGTACCCGGAGAAATCGAACGATCTATTTAATGGTGGTAATGTTACGAGGAAACATTTGGCATTCATTGACGGATCAAACAGTACAGCTTTCGACTGAAATTTATAAAATCTTTATCTTAAAATCTTTTTTTTCAGGAAAATAAGATTCTCCTGTCCAGTAAGTGTTATCGATCTTTTCAGTATTGAAGGGGGTTTCCTTCCTAATTTTTTATCCGTTGTACCGTGGAATATCAACATCTTCATTATGTCATGATTTTCGCTTCGAGTTACATATGCTCTCCATTTTAGTTGTTGCTGCTGTTGGAAGTCATCAAGTGATGTGGTTTCTGTTATTTGTGACAGTTCTTTGTTTGTGAATTACACTCTACAATGTTCAAAGAAGGATGATTTTTACCAACCTCCTCAGATTTCATTCGTTCAAAGCCATCTTTAACCATTGACCTTAGAAATCAGTTTATACAACTGACAGTTTAGATATTTCCGAACAGGGTTGGCGCCATGCATGACGTTCAAATGAAAGTCTCAATTTGATGAGGTTATATCTGGTTAGCTCTGGTATAATCTATTCTATGTTCAGTTTCATTAGCTCCTATACTGAAATTGTTATAACTGATCCATACGTATTTGAAGTATTTTTTTATGTACCAATTCCACAGACTGATCTTTTACGGTGGATTCAGGATATGTGCCATCACAGCTTTCATTCTAATACTTTCTGTTTTGGAAATGATTATCTTGAGTCCTACTTCTTGGAACATTTGGTAGAGAATGGTGATCATGGTCTTTTTTTTAAATAGATGGAAAAACAAGAAGTTGGACAGACAGACAGAAAAATAATCCCAAGAACTACAATAGACAGAAACTTAGTCAGGATCGATCACGTCCTGACATAGCACAGAGAAGATCATTCAGTAAACCCGATATTTTTTAGTACACCCAAAGTCCAAAGAGATGGGTACCCAATGAGGATCAACATCATTACAAAAGTAATGGTGTGTGAAACTAGCTTACTAACAGCTAGTTCACAAAGTTACATATTTAGTTACAAAACTTATCTGGTTAAGGAATAAAATATTAGGACATCCATTGAGAACCCAGATCCGAGGAATGGCGTCTGAGATGTCTTTGATAGCCATTGCTCTACAGAAGATGGCAACACAAATTAGATGTCATAATTAAGTTAGGTTTAAGACCACTAAACTGGGGCCGCAACATTAAAATTCCCAACCGTTTTGTCTGCAAAACGAGTTGGTTATCTCACTACGGTTAGCGTTCGAAAGGTTAGTTTTTATTCGTCCGAATTTCTTTGGAATAGCGTTCACCAGAATCCAAACCGCTGTGCGGTCGGCACGTACATACGACTGACCTGTCAGGTCTTATAAATTAAATATATTTTCATGAATATTGGATTGTCCGGTATAGCACTTAGGAAATAAGATTTCAAGACACAGTGAATGCCTAAGGTAACCCGCTAGACAGCAATGGTTAACGTATCGATGCAGGAGTAACTAATTCAATCCTTGCTGGGTTATTGACATTGTGGAACCGTGCCAGATGAAGCTACGTTTGGTAAATTTCGATAATGAACAAAAGATGGAACAACGATAATTACAAATGTAACAGACGAGTTCTGTCAGTAATTCTTACAGTTAAGTCCTGAACTCTGATAAGCACTTTTGCTATTTTCGAAGGCAATTCTATAGGATAATCAATTTCGATAACCTAATGTTGTACATTATTTCAAATCTATTTCAAGAGTATAATTAATTAAGATACCCAAGCAAAGTACATTATTTCCAATTGATTTCTATATTATCAATTTCAAGACATTATTCTAATAACGTATTTTCAATGCATTTGAATAAGACAATCCGTTCCAATAAAATCCGATAGTAACATATTTCCAATGTTCTTCTATTTTATAATCAGTTTCAATGCCCTTGTATAGAATATCATTTCAAATCTAT